GCGCTCTCTGCGAGCAGCCCAGCCGGGTCAGGCCCACTGGCTGCAGCTGCCTGGGCGGGAGGGACTGGGCAGGCGGCTGCAGAGCTCTGGGGAGCCGCAGCCTTCCCTCTTGCCTCTGCCAGCGACCACCCTCCCCACCCTGGGCGGCGGCGGCAGCGGGCTCTGTGCCGGCCTGCAGCCATGCCCCGGTTCTCGATGGGCACACAGAGCCTGGCAGCAAGGCCCGGGGCCTCTGAGCCCAGTGGTGCTCTGCCCAGCTGGTGGGGAGAGACACAGGGTGGGGTGGGGTGGGGTGGGGTGGGGTGGAGGGTGACAGGCCCTCGGAAGGAGCAGTGGGCGTGGGGGCTGAGCTGCCGGTGCGCTCAGGGTCCCGGAGACCGGCAACACTCACCCAAGGGCCCAGAACGGCAGAGCCAGCTGGGCGGCGGGCAGGAGAACCAGGGCCGGGCAGAGAGCCCCTCCTCCTCCGGGGGCAGCGAGGGGGCACGAGATGGGGCACCCCCGAACACTGGGTGGGAGCTTTTTGGGGTGGGGGGCGTTGGAATTGCGGCCGGGAAGTGCTGTGGGCTGAGGGGGCTCCCAGGGGCAGGCCCAGGGCACCGCCCCCCGGGCTCCTGCAAAGCCTGGCTGTCAGGCCTTTCCTGGGGGCAGCTGCAGCCATGTGCCCCTGCCGCCGCCGGTGCCTCTGCCCCGCATCCGGCTAGTTCCCGGGCGGGTCCCTGGTTTTCCGCTCAGGGCGAGGGTCCGGAGTGTGGGTCCCAGGGGCGGCGCTGCTGGCCTCGCTGCACCACGCGGGGGAGGGGCCTGGCCAGGAGGGCCCCCAGCCGCAGAGACGCCCGCCGGGCCGGCGGGACCCCTCCCAGGCTCAGGCTGACGCCGGGGCAGCTCCGAGTCCTGCGGCCCAGTGGAGCTGGTTCTCCAAAAGGCGTGGGCGTCAGTGCCTCCGCTGACTTCCAGTCCGTTCTCCACTCCCGGCCGGACGCCCGGGCCGTTCTCGCCGTCCCCACCAGGCCCCGTCCCCGCGCCCCCTGCCTGCGCCCCGCCGGCCCCTCTGCTGCCCGTTCTCGGAGTTCGAGGGCTGCGGGCAGAAGGAGCACCCGGTCGGCCTCCGCCGTCCTTCTCCACCTGCTGCGCGGCGCTCCCGTCCCCTACGCACCTGGGCCGCGAGAGGCGAGGGGGGAGTGTCCCCAGAGGGCCTGGTCCCTGGAGGTGGTCCCGCTCCGGCGAGCGCCGCGGGGTACTCACCTGGGGGCCGCGCAGGCAGGAGTGCGCAGGCTGTCCCCGGGCGGCGAGGTGCGGGGACGCCCGCGGCGCGGACCGCTGCCTCCGCGCTGCCTCCGGGCGCCGGCGAGTTTCTCCCCGCAGCTCCGAGCAGGACGGAGGGCGGCGGGTCCGAGTTTCGCCCGCGGGCCCCGGGCAGTGGCGGAGCGCGGCGCTGGCGGCGCTGGCGCTGCTGTTTTTGAGCCGCGGAGTCCGGAGCAGCGGCGGTTGGGTGGGGGCGAAGGGGAGGGGCAGGGGCAGGGGCAGGGGCGGCCCGCGGGGGGCGGCGGCCCGGAGGGGGCTTCGGCGGAGCCGGGTTCCGGCGCGCGCGGACCCGGACACCCCCTCGGGCGATCGCGGGGCAGGGGCGGGGGCCGAGGGGGCAGACGGGGAGAAGAGCCGGCTGGGGCGACGGCGAACGCAAAGCTTTTTAATGAGCACTGACACGCGCGAAGACGAAGCCAGCCCAGCCAGCCCCGCGTCCGAACTGTCGGCGCGTTTGCCCCCGAATCCGAGCAAGCCGCCGGGGCAAGCGCGGCCGCCGCTCCATCTTCCGCTGGCGGGGCGGGAGCCGCGGCGCAACGCGACGCAGGCGAAGGGTGGGGGGATCGTCGCCTCGCCTCCGGGGCCACCTGGGTCCTTTTAAAGTGTCCGGGGTGCGGGCCCCGGGCGGGAGCGCCGAGCCCGGAATGTTTTCTTAAAGGGCCAGTTCCGAGCTGCGCTGCACAAGGGGGTGGGGGAAGGGGGCGGGGGGAGAGAGAAGTGAGTGAGGCCCGGGAAGGCCGGGGAGAGCCCCCCAACCCCGCGCCGGGGCGGCGGCGGCGGCGGCGGCGGCGGCGGCGCGACGATGAGGATGATGAATACATTGCAAAGTTTTTTTGGCCCCGGCGAGGGGTGTCAGATTGAGCGCTCTGTGCGCATGTGCGAAGGTGTCCAAACTGACAATGCTGGGGAGATGAGGATAGTCTGTGGCTGCTTCTGGACTCGAGGAGGAGGAGAGGGATTCCGCGAGCCGACACCATGCGATCCAAGGCGAGGGCGAGGAAGCTAGCCAAAAGTGAGTCTCCTGCGCTCGGCCGCGCCGCGCCGGCGGGCCCGGGCCGCGGGGGCCGGGGCGGCCGGGCCAGGGGTGCGCGTCGGGGCGCGGCCGGCGCGCCTCGGGCTCCCGGCCCCCGGATCGGCCGCGCGGCCCGGGGGCTGCTCCGCCTCCCGCGCTCCGGGGCGGCCGAGCTCGGCGCGGAGGCTCGGGGCGCCGGGCCGCGCGCTCCCCGAAGGCGCCGGCCCCCTCCTCGCCGAACCCCCTCCCCCCCCCCCGTCAGGCGCTCGGGCCCGGGAACCCGAGGCGCGCGGTGGGGGCCGGGGAGGGGGGCGGAGGGGGCGGGCTGGGGGTGGAGGGGAGCGAAAAGCGAAAGTTAGCGAAAAGTTGACGAAAGGGGAGAGCAACTTTTCCTCCTCGCTCGCTCTCTCCCTCTCTCTCCGAGTGGTTCTCAGTCCTGGTCAAATCATATTCCGGGCTTTTGAAATAGTGGGCGCTAGAGCACCGCCTTTGGCGTCCGCCAGCCGGGCGCAGAGGAGGGAGACCCCGAGCCGGGGAGGGGGCGGAGGAGGGGGCGCGGGCCGGCGCCCACCGGCTCCGCGGGCGCGAGGCAGGGCTGGCAGCGGCAGGACGGCCGCAGCCCTTGGGGAGGAAAATGGAGACGTTTTCCCGGGCTCGGAACTGCGGTCGCGAAGTTCATTCCCAAGTGGTGCCCCGCGCGGCGGAGGGCGCTCCTCCGTGCCTCCGGCAGCCCACGCGGGCCGCCCGGGCGCGGGTGCCTCCGGCAGCTGCGTCCCCGCCGGCCGCCTTCAGACCCGCCGCCGCCGCCTGCACCCTCGGCCCCGCTCGGACCCTCCCGCGCCCGCTCGCCGGGCACAGCCGTGGAGCCCGGCGGGGACAGAGCGGCCCGGCGCGGCCGCCGGGTCTCGGTCTTACTTTCTCTTTCGCTCCGTCTCCGGCGGAGCCCCGGGCTGCGCGCGCCCAGCCTGCCGCCTCCAAGTCCTCGCCTCCGGGTCTCCGCCGCCGGCCCGGTGCTGCCGCCGCCCGCACCGCCGCCGCGCTTCCGGGCCACCCGTGCACCTTCCACGCCGCGGCGCCGCCGGCGTTTCGGGCCGCGAGGCCCCCAGGCCCGGAGTTGCGGCCCGAGAGGCGGGCAGGTGGGGGCGGCAGCGGCCGCGAGACCGGGCGAGGGCGGCTCCCGCAGCCCCAGCGGAGGCCCGGCTGCAGCGAAGCGGCGAGCGCCGCGCGGAGTGGAATCGGCGTCTCCTGCTCTCGCCGCCCGCTTCTCCGCCGGCCGCCAGCCCACGAGCGGAAGGGGAGCCCGGCCTGCTGCTCTTGGGATCCCCGCCCGACCACCAGGCCGCTCGGCCGGCTCCTCCTCGGCCTGGCTCTGCGGTGCCCGGCGGCGCAGCACTCGCCGCCCCCGAGCCTGAGTCCGGAGGGCGCGAAACTTGCGACAGTTTTCTTAGGAAGTTCTGTTGTCCGTGTGGGGTGCTCGGCCTGGCCTGGCTGGGCAGGACAGCGGCTCCGAAGTCGCAGGCCGTTTTCGGGGTCTGCCCGGGAAAAGCAGGTCCCAGCCTACGTACGCAGGGTGCCCCTGGGCCCTGCGGGTGGCGGCTGGGGCCCTTCGCGGAGGCGCCCCCTTTCTGGCCAGCCTCCTCTGCCAGGTGCTCTTGGCCTGGCCCCCCCCCCCAGCCTTCCCGGCCTCCCTTGATTTCTGGCCCCTCTTGGTGCGAAGGAGGTCCCCTTCTCAGTGCTGGCTCCGCAGCCCGGCGCTACCTGCTTGCGGGCGTGTGTGTGTGTGTGTGTGGGGGGGTGTGTTTTCGTGTGCACGTTCCGGTCTGTGTGTGCGGGGAAGGGCCGGCTCTAGATTCTCAGCCAGGACCGCCAGCCACCTGGGTCAGGCCCTCTCCGGGAAGGCCCCGAAGCCGGGGAGGGAAAGTGGAAGGTGGCTTCCTTCTCCTGGCCTTCGCTGCAAGCGAGAGGCAGCCCTGGAAACGTCCCACGCCCGGCAGGCGGCCAGCCGGCCCCCGGTCTGGCCCTCAGCACTCCCTCGGCTCCACCCCAGCAGGTGGGGAAGGCCGCCTCGGGGTCGGAAGGGCCAGGCCCTGCTCGGGGCCCAGAAAGGTGCCTGGCCGTGCCCTGCAGAGTGGCCTGGGTCTGCAGAGCGTGGCCAGGGGTCTGGCAGTGCACAGATGCCCGTTTCCTGGGAGTCTGTGGAGAGAAAAGCGCAGGCCAGCGTGTCTGCCAGGCCCAGGCCCAGCTGCAGCCCACACGGGGCAGGCGCGGGGAAGCCCTCCCGCCCGGGCCCCGGGACTGGGCCGGCTGCCCCCAGCCATCCCTGAGAGGGTGGCCCAGCAGGCTCAGAAAGGCGGCTGCCTCCCCGACACGGTGGAGTGCAGGACCCACGGAGGGATCTCATGGCGATGGACAATATTTTAAGCAGATGTGGGCGTCCCCCGGGGACCTGGCTCTGTTACCTGAATCTGGGGCAGAGGGTAGCTCCAGGACCTCCATCGGACGCCCCCCCCCCCACCTCCACCCCTGGGCCACATCCCAGCCAGGGTCAGGGGCTGGGGCTGAGCAGAGAGGTCACGGGTAAAGGACAGCGTGCAGGGCTGGGCCGGGCCTGCGGCCCTGTGCCAGGCAGGGAAGGACACCCCGTCCGTGGCTGTGGCTCCCGGTACAGGGCTGGGGGCTCCCCCAGAGGTGCATCTGTGTTTCCCCAGGACCCCACTTCAGGGGGCCCTCTCCCCCTGGGCCTGCAGGCTGGCTGAGCTGGTGGCACTTGGGGGCTCACTCCGGGACTCAGCTGAGCTTCCAAGGGCAGAGGGCCCTGGGGCGTCCAGGCCTGGGCTGCTGGGAAACCCACCACCTCCTCAGCCTGGACTTGGGGGGCCGGGGGCAGAGTGAGGACAGCTGGGGTCCCGGGTCCCCTCACACAGGCCTGTGGGGAAATGAAACTGTCTCGCCGCCCATCTGAAAACCGGAGTGCCTGACAAGAGCTTGGAGTTTCTGCCTCCGCCATGAGCCAGGTGTGCAGGTGGGTGGGGGGTCAGCACAGCGGTGGTGCCCTCCTCACCTCTGTGCGGGGAGGGCCGGTCCGGCCAGGGCCTCAGTGGGAGCTGCCCGCAAGTGAGGCTCAGTCAGTGCGGAGGTCACAGCCCCCAGGTCCCAGTTGCCACGTACCCCAGGCCTGGGGATGCGGTCCTGGGGACGATGGCTGCCCGGGCCTGGGGGTGGGCTGGTGGCTGCTCCCCAGGCCGGAGGTGGCCCTTTGTGTCCCTTTGTGTGTATTCAGGCTGACGTGTGAGACAGGTTGGGGGCGGTGGGGCTGGAGGCCGAGCTCCCGGCGGCCGGCTCTCCCCCGACACAGGCCAGGCTCCCCGGCCTCTGCTGGGCCCTGCCCCTCTCCCACCCCGGGGCACGTCTGCCCCTCCACGGGTCCTCTTCCCTGGGCCGGGACGGCAGCCTCCCGTTCGGACGCCCGGGAGGGCCCCGGCGCCGGGAAGCGTCCGGTGGTGGCGGGGCAGCCAGCCCGCTTCGGGCGAACAGGCCGAGGCGGCCGAGGGGAGGGCGGGGAGCAGGGCTGGCGGCCAAGGCCAGGTGCCCCGCGGCGGCTCTCGCCGCAGCCCGAGGGCTCTGATTTCGCCGCTGGCCTGCGGGTGGGCCCTGGCCGGAGGCCTCCGGGAGAAACGCCGGGGGCTGCCAAGTCCTGTGAGGGAGGTGACCTGCGGCGGCTTCCCCCAGGAGGGCATCGCTGCTTTCCAGGGTCCCTGCCACAGAAGCCCGCTGCCGCGGACGCTGCGGTCCCCGCCCGGACGGAGCAGGTGCGGGCCAGGCCTCCCGACCGCCTGGCGCCCCGCTCCGCCGCTCCCTGCGTCCCCATCGGGGCAGAGCACGGGGCAGGGGACCCGGGACCCGTTTCTGTTGAGGGGCCAGGTGCTGGCGGCGGGGTGGGCGGGGGGGCTCCCCCCACTGGGCCCCTGGGGGAGGCGAGCCAGCTCTCTGGGCCACTTTGGGCGCCATTAGCCCCCTGTTTTATTCAATTAGGAGGCAATTAGGGATCCTTGGGGGGCTGGGCTGGTAATTAAGGTGATGTATAATTAGAGTTTCAACAAAAATTATCCAGGATTAAAAATCTTTTGAGTAATTTCGTTTAAAAATCTTAAGTAGCGCTAAACACAATTTATCAGGCTTTGAATCAGCCCCTGGACCACGTCTCGGTCGCCGCAGCCCTCGTCTTTGGGGCGGGAGGACTAGGAGCAGCCAGGGCGCCGGCCCGTGCGCCAGGGAAACTTCGCGCCGCGGAGGGAGCGGCCGGGCCTCGCAGCGGGTGCGGGGCGGCCTGGGGCGCCGACTGGGCCGCGGAGGGCTCCAGACGGCGCGGGCCGACGGGGCGCGGAGCCTGGGAGCCGCAGAGTGAGCCGAGGGTCGCCGCGGCGCCCTCCCGTTCTGCGTTGGCAAAGTCACTTCCCAGGACTGCGCGGAGGGAGCAGCTGCCGCGTCTACACCGCGCAGCCGGGTTGTGGCGATGGCTGTGACCTGGCGCCTCTGACCTCGGCCGGGCCGGCGCTGCGCCCTGCCCTAGGGCCGGGTCCAGCCCCGAAGGTGTCTGCCTCCGAGCTTCCCCGGCGGGCGGGCGGGCGGGCTCCGCACCCAGAACCTCTGGCTTTTGACCCAGGCTCTGCAGGCGGCAGGCCCAGTTTGCGGCAGCTTCTCGGACCCAGGCGCAGAGAAACGGGGAGAGCCTGGGTCTCAGTCGGGGCAGCGAGGAGAGGAGAGACGGTCCAGGGGTCGGGACTGAGGTGGGGGGGCGGGGTCAGGCTTCCCAGGGTCAGCCCGGCTCCCGCAGAGGCCGCTCCGGGCCGTCGCACTGCACACACCTGTCGGCTGCGGAGCGCACAGCCGCCTGAGCCCCAGCTCCGCTGCGTCCCTGCCTGCTCTCCCGCCCCCCCAGGAGAAGGTCAAGGTTCCCTTTCAGGCAGCTGCAGTCACGTGGAAGACGTGACCCTACCCCCCTTCACTGACCCTGGGAAGGATGCAGCGTGGCTGGCTGGCACCACCGGAAGGGTGAGAAACCCAAGGCCCAGACACAGAGAGGTCAAGGGACCCACGCAGGTCACACAGCCAGTTGCAGCCGGAACAGACTACTCCTTAAATAAAACCCTCCTGGGTCTCTCCTTTCACGCCCCACCCCCAGCGCGGACTGCAGGTATTTCCCCGGCACCTTATTCTGAGGTGCCGGGGTTCCGGCATCTCCCCGGGGCCAGGGCTGGGCTGGAGGCAGGTTGGCCCTTAAAAAGCAGGTGAGACGCGGGTGTGCTCTGAGCTCGTGGGGGAGCTGGCTGCCCCGGGGACTCAGCCTCCTCCAGGGTGGGCCCTTCCCTCTCCCGGTCTGGGGGTCTGGGCCGCTGGTGTCCCCGCCCAGGCCGGCAGGAGGCCGCCCTGCCCCCCACACCCCCACACCGTGCCCCCGAGTCCTCTTCCGGGGGCAGGGACAGCACCGGGGAGTGTGGACCACCTGCCTGAACCCCCACAGAGTGCCTTTGCCTGAGCAGATGCAGGAGGTGCGGGGGGCCTGTCAGCTCCCCGCACCCGACGCCCCCCCGCCCCCCCACAGGGAGAGGGGACCTGACACAGGGCCGGGGTGGGGGCGGGAGCCAGGGCTGCAGTCACCGTCCAGCCTGGACCTGGTGCCGGTGCTGGTCTTCAGGCCTGGGCCCTACAGGCTGTGGCCACGGTGGCCGGTGGCCGTGCTGGGCGGGCCGCACAGCCCAGCCCCCGCAGGCCCAGAGCAGCGGAGGGGGGGCGGCCCCTTCCTGCTCTTGGGGCTCCACCGTCCAAACTGCTCCGTGGTGTGGAGGTGCCCCGGGCGGTCTGCCCGGCCAGACCCCGCCAGACTCCGGGGAACGCCCGGTGCCCCGGGCTCACGGACAGCAGTGCCGCGCTCCGAGATACATATTTGTTCAATAGTTAACATTCTGGGCAAAAAAAAAAAAAAAAAAGAAAAAAAAAGGAGGGAAAGCAGATTCTGGGGAAGGCTTTGCTTATTTTATATCCACTATATTTATGTCCATGAAAATTGGCTTAATTATATCAATGGAATGTTTCTTTTTCAATTCTGTACGCAATTAGTCCATCTTGCCGGCTGCAATTTATTTTAATAAAAAAATAAACCAGTGGTGTGTTCAGTTCCTCGTCCCCTGGGGACAAATGCGATTGGTGTGTTTAATTTCATTAACTACAATGCGGCCTACTGGAAAAATGTATAAAATCAGCTTTATACAGCTTAAACACTGGCATTTGAAACAAATCATTATTGCATTAGCTGTCACACTGGTAATTCTAGAATCTAAGGAAAAAAATATATTATGGCTGTTTTTATAACCCCTCGCAAACGCACTGTTAAAATAATTTATAATCACTGGGAAGCGTGGCCGGGTCCCGGGGATCACTCCGTCTTCTCGCACGAAGAAGGTGCCCGTCTTCCCCGGCTCGTTCCGCCTCCCGACGTGCCGGCCGCTGCCGGCCCGGGAGCCCCACCTCTCGGGGCGGACGTGGTGGAGGCTCTCTGGACACAGCCCCGAGGGGCTCGGGGTCCCCTGTTCTCTCTGGCCTGCGCCTGCGCTTGGGGTGGCGACAGAGGCGTCTGACGTCCACCTGGGGTCGGAGGGGACCCGCAGGCTGGGGATCGGGAGCCCCGCGTGCGCCCGGCCTCCCCTCCAGCCCTCAGCGGGGGAGGAGGGAGGGCTCTGGACCCATGCAGGGCCCTGCGGGCCGGGGAGCCAAGCCTCCCGTGGATGTGGACGGTGCCCCCCTGCCCCAGCCTGGGGGCGCAGCCCCTGTGTGCGTGTGTGCGCCTGCTCCGGACGCCGGGGAGCCGGTGGCCGACACCTGCGCCCTTGCTGCACACGGGGACGATGGTGCAGAGCGAGCCTGGCTGGGGACCTCCCAGACTCGCTGCTTCTTGGGCCTCGGGCCGCGTGCACCTGCCGCCCGCACCCCGTCGGGTGTGGATGGGGAGGGTGGGCCCCAGCCTGTGTGTGGGATCAGCTCCCCCCGCCGAGGGCCCAGCCCGGCCCAAGTGGACTGTGCCACCCATGAGGTAGAGGCCGGGGACGGGACCCTGGCTGCTCACCCTCCGGGCACGCGGCTGGGTCTGCTGAGAAGGCTGCCGGGCAGGGTGCCGCCTGCCTCCCAGTTCCGAGAGGCGCTGTGAGGAGGCCCAAGGGGTGCCCCTGCGGCCCTGCAGGGCGGCTGCCGGCCTGGCCCAGCGTGGGGGGGGCACCGCCCCTGTGCAGGTGCCGTCGGGGGCTTCTCGGGGCTTCCCCGGCCCCAGGTCGTGAGCACGGTGTGAGTGGGAAGTGGAGACCTCCGTGGGCTTGGCCTGAGGCCCGTGACCGGGGCTGCTGACCCCCCACGTCCAGGGATCAGGGCTCCCAGGCCCCCCGGGGATTTCCTGGGGCACTCCCAGAAATGCCCCTTAGCCCCCTGACTCGCCCGGGTAGATTCAGGCTGGCGCGATTTCTCTCCTCTGGGCACAGTGAGTTCAGTGCAGTGACGCCAGGCACTCGGCCCACAGGCCCACCGTTTCCTGCCGGGCGGGCAGGTCCTGGGCCGGGTCTCCCCAGATCCCTGCCTTTGGGGAGCAGGCCCTATGTCCCCAGGCCCCGGGTCACCTCCACGTGCCCAGGGCCCTGCCTCGGCCTTGGGGCTTGCTCTCCGTCTGCTGAGCGGCCGAGCGGCTGAGCTGAGCAGCAGCGGCTTTGTCTGCCTCCCTCCCGGACAACGAGCAGCGAGACCACACGCTTCCTGCAAACCTCGCGTCCTGGCCCGCGGGCGCCCTGGACGCTGCCCCGAGGGCTCGCTCGGGCCCCGCGGTGGCCACCGTGGGGCGGGGCGGGGGCCCTCCGTCCACTCCAGCTTCTTCGAAGGGTACGGCCCGGGCACGGTCGCCGGTCGCCTTCGTGAAGCCAGGGAGAGGGCGGGCTCCGGAGGGCACAGCGGGGCGGGGGGTGCTCAGTGGAAGGCT